GGGGGGGGGGGGGGGGGGGGGGGGGAGACTCCATCCTGTGATTAGAAACGAAGCATGTCAGACCATCTCCCTCCTGCTGATGCCATCCCAAAGCAGAAGCCTTCCTCCAGCCCGGGCAGGAAATGGAAAAGCTACACGGGGGTTTCTCATTTTATTTTCCAGCCTGTATATTTTAAAAAGCATTTTACAAATAGAATCTTCTTACAATAGCGATAAATAGATTTTTTTTTTTTTTTATACACGGGTCACTGGAAACACCACTAGAGTCTTGGAGTCTGAAATTAAACGAAGAAAACTGCAGTGTCTAAACTTTGCAAGTTCATGGATTTTGTGCATCCTTAAAAAGAAAGAAATAAAAAGTAAGCAACCCAAAGGGGAAGAAAGGATGAGTTCACACAACAGACGTGAGAAAGACCCAGACATTCACAGAATTCATCTTTTCACACCACCAGAAGGCCGTCATGAAATGTGGACGCCTGGGAATTGGGAGACTTCTTCCCTGATCCAGACACCTGTGGAGCCAGCAAGGGCGCCCACAAGGGTGTGCTGCCCTCCCCCCCAAATCCCATACAGCGTGGGTGCAGGCCAGCCATTGCACGGAGGGGGCGTCCCTGCAGCTTGGAGCCCAGCCAGGGCGACCAGTGAGGTCTCCCGCCAGGAATCACGGCAGCGTCTTCCAGGGAGAGTCTCGCCCTGCCTTCTGCTGGGCAGGCTCCTTTGGCCAGGCCGTGTGTGTGTGTGTGGCTGGTGACACAGCTGCCCTGGGCCACCCCAGAGTCACCGCAGGGCACCCCAGACCCAGCCAAGCCCCTCCCATCCTAGCCGACCTGTGGCAAGATTGTCAAGTGTTCTTTGGGATCAACATCACAGAAGGAAGAGTCTGGAAACATCGGGCAGAGAGGTCTCTGCCTCCCACCTGCCGACCCAGAAGGGATGCCTCGGCCAAGCCCACCTGCTCACAAGCTTCCCACCTCTGTGAAGATGAGAGCATGGGGCAAGCCAGCCAGGGCACGTTACAAGAGCCGGGTGGGTGGACAGGGGTGTGCCAGCCGGGCAGGTGAGAGACGCGGAAGAACAGTTGGAGAAGCAGAAACGGAGGGAGCGGGTCCAGGCGGGCTCCAGATGCTGCCCCGTCAACCCCTCCATCCGTGGGCCTCCTCGTGCCCTGAAATGCTGCCGCAGGGAATCAGGAGTCAACGACCCCCGACTTTCCAGAAAACTCCACTTCGAAGAATCGGCTGCTGTTGCTGGGCGGGCTGTCCTCTCCCAAAGGGGTGCCCGCAAATGGCGTGCCTGCTTGTCTCTGCGACAGGAGAGCCAGGGACCGCAAAAATCTCTGTCTTGCTGCCCCCCACTGCAACTGGCCAAGACGTCTTCCCCAGAGGGAGCTGGGGGGCGGGAGACATCCAGGCAGATGTTTCCGTGGGATCGTCCACACTTTGATTCCGGCTGCTTGGCTCCGGGTGACTTCCTGTGGGATCTAACTGGGAGGGGGTGATCTTCGAGCACAGCTCATGGAAAAGAGGGGGCTTGTGGGGGGAATCAAGGCCAGAGAGTCCTGGGCCCGGAGCAGTGCCGGTCCTGGCGTGCCTTGCTACCGCAATGGAGGAAGCCACCAGGAACGGCCACAGGGAAGAAGCTGCTTAAAATGGAGGTTCGGACAAGCAGGTTTTGCTGGTCGGAGCGTCGTCTTGTGCCAAGACAAAAATGGGGGTTCTCCGCCACTGCCTCGGCTTGTGCTTCTTGGATGTGAGCTGTCGGGGAGGGCAAAGGAAGCAGAGTCACCCCCAGCCCCAGGAAGGGGGGCTGAAAGTGGAGGGGAACCACGGAGCGCAAGGGGGCCCCAGGAGCAGGGAGGGCAGGTGCACCCGAGGGGCAGAGAGGGTGGGGAATCAAAGGTCCCAAACTGGGTCTTGTGAGGTTTAGGGGAGGGGCCCCGGATGCCCCAGGGAAGATACTCGGGGGAGCATGAGGTCTGACCTGCTTGGGAGGCGCATCCACGGAGACGGGTGGGAGGGTTAGCAGCTCTGGGGGGACAGACACACCAACAGGAGGGTTAGGGCACGGATTGGAGCCACGGCCACAGCAGGAGCGACGGGGGAGCGAGGAGCCACACGGGGGAAAGCTGGGTCCCCACAGAGAGGGGCAGCCCCTCCCTTTGCCCAACACGTTTCACCCCCCGGCAGGAAGAAAAGGGCCAGGCACTGCCCATTTGCATTACGGCAATCCTTCACTGCTCCCGCCAACCCAGCCCGGGTTTCCTCAGGATTCAGGGCATTTGCCAGAGGCTAAAAGCAGGGTTCACTGAGGGGTGTGAATGCCCTCAGTGGGTGCCACCTGCGCTGAAGGCAGGAAGGAGGGAGGCCCCCCCAACGCAGATCCTGCAGCCTCTCGGCCGGCCCCCTACCCAAGTCTTGAGGCCGCTGCTCTCAGCCAGGGGGAACAGGCGAGGGGCACCAGCAGCTACGCTGGTCACCCTTCAACTCCCCACAGACCCACCAATACAAGGGCCCCTCCCTCCCCCCCAGCCCTTGAGGACCCCTCACCAGGTGTGGGGGCTGCTGGTCCGAGTGTTCGAGCTGGATCTGGATTTCTGGGCAAGGGGGCTCCGTGGGCTTCCTGGGGTCCGGCTGGGGAGAGCGCGAAGGGCCTGGATGGGGGGAAGCCACCTGAATCACAAGCCAGTCCCCCCCCGCCGCCCCCCGCCTCGCCCCCGCGCGGCGGGTGCGCGCCGCGCGCGGGCGCGGGCTTCACGCGGGGGCGCCGGACCCCCCCGCCCCCCCC